TCAATAGGGTCTTCGCCAACCTAGGTCTCAGACCCTAATAAGTGCTTCAACATAGTTAACATTGCAGGAAAGCAATATATTAGACGTTAAGTACTTTGTCAGGCTTAATATTTATCTGTAGATACCCCCAAAGCTTTTTTCTTATTTGAAAGAAGACCTTAACCTAAAGTATTCTTTAATGTTTAAATAAAGGTTAATTAGTTTTTCTGTTTGGCACATCCTCCTATTAATATCTTTATACATCCGGCACTAAACTGTTTTATTGTAGAGATCACTTACAATATGTTCTCGATATTTTATATTCTATATTTCTATCATTGACCTTCTACTTTCCCCCTATTTTGTATGTACTCTTAATATTTAATAAAAAACTGTCAAGTTTAAAGTGTTAACACAATAAATTATTATTAGTGTAAGACACTTATGTATGTATAACATCTGAAGATGTGTAGTTTTATTCATGTTTTCACTTAATTTTACAGGATATTGCTATATTATTTCACATTGTAGTTCTACAAATTAATATCTGATTTGTAAAACATCACAGACAGAAAGGCAGAGGTGTGGACTCGAGTCACATGACTTGGACTCGAGTCAGACTCGAGTTACCAATTTGATGACTTTGGACTCGACTTGACAAAATCACAAAACACTTGCGACTCGACTTGGACTTGAACACCAATGACTCGGGACTTGACTTGGACTTGAGCCTTCTGACTTGAGGTGACTTGATCATTTAATTCAGGGGTCTCCAACACGCCGATCGCGAGATGCCGCTTGAAGAGCAGACTCCCGTCGGGGAAAGCAGAATCTTCAGCCGCTGCAACTCTTGCTGAGAATCCATGCAGGCAGGGGCGGGACTTTATTTTGCTGAGCCACCATGCGGCCAATCATATGCGAGGACACACTAGGATCATACCATTATGTGAAAGAAGGGTGGGGGGCAGACGCTCCAAAGACAGCAGGTGTAGTGGTACAGGCCAGCTACACAGAGCGACGGGGAGCCGGATTTAAATGCAAGCGCGTCGGAAGAAGTCAAGAAATTTGCGAAAACCGAAAAAAGGAGCAGCTTCTGGCTGCATTTCAATGATATTGGAGAAAGCAAAGCTGAGTGCAGGATTTGTAAAATGAAAATAACCTTCAGAGCAGGGTTTTTTTTTTGGTAACCACTCAGGATTTATTGCCAGAGGTGGGAGAAGTTCAGATCTTGTACTTGAGTAACAGTACCAGAGTGTAGGAATACTCGGTTACAATAAAAGATCCTGCATTCAAAATGTTACAAGTAAAAGTACAAAAGTATTAGCATCAAAATATAGTACCACCTGCAGAGGGATCTAGATTCAGGTGTTCTTTTCCCCATAGAGACGCCTCGCTGCACATTAACCCTTGCATAAAGATAGATTGTGGGTCCCTTATAACATGCTGTACACAGTGGAAATAAACATTCTGGTCACCTCAACATCAGGGATCTTATACATTAAACTCCTTCTGAATCAAACCGTCACGGTAGCCTTACCTTACTGATCCCTCTTACAATAGAAGAAAAACACGTTACTTTACCAGCAGAGAGAAAATGGATTATTAAATTATTAATGTGACTAATAAAGAGCAGTTTGATTATTAAGTATTATTCTGTTGATCGATGTCATTACATTTGTTGAAAAGCACATAAGGACTTGTTTAAGACTCGTTTTGTCAAAGTTTAGGACTTGGACTTGACTTGAACTTTCCCATCCTGACTTGAGACTTGACTTGGACTTGAGTGCAAAGACTTGAGACTTGACTCGGACTTGAGCGCAAAGACTTGAGACTTGACTCGGACTTGCAAAACAATGACTTGGTCCCACCTCTGCAGAAAGGTATATCTATCATTTAATGGTAAGCTATTGAAATTCTGATTCCATAGATGTGTCTCCCATCACCCAAAACCCCTGACTATTCTCTCAACTCAGTATTTACATTCTGATATTCAAAGAAAATCAGTAATATCCCTGTCTATCAGCTGTGCACCGCTACCTATCTACCAATAGGCTACATGCACAGTCACTTCCGCATTGTGCGTAGTACTGCCCAACTGTTTCCGGTACAACAACAACAATGGCGACGTTCTACACCCGGTGTCTACAAGAGCTCCTGAAATTGAAAATTAGCGATGTTCATCGCATTTGCAGGACGACTAAAGCCCCAGCCAGCAAACTCGATAAAGGCTTCAAATTATATGCTGCGTCATATATACACAACTATGAAGGTAAGAAGGTAACAGGTACTAACCAGCGAGCTTATGCTACAGGTTACGCTAACGTCAGCTGTCAAAAGCTAGGTAACGCCAGAGCCCTATAGTAGAACTACTATTATACTACTACTACTACTACTATAGTAGACTACTATAGGGCTCTGGGTAACGCTATGTACTGTTTCTGGTGTTAATTCTTTAAAACATTAGCCATTTTACTCAAAAATACTATCGTTTAATAGCCTTATAGCCTAGCCAACTAAAGGTTGTCTTGTTGTTAGCCACACTGCATAATGATTAGACCCTCCAGAAAAACGCGATTATGCGATCGCATAATTTACCGCATAATCAGCAAAATGGCGCAGATTTTTAAAAGGGCGCATATTTATTAAAAGGTCGCATAATCCCCGCATTTTTCCACACAAAGTTGAGGGAAAAAAAAGTTAACGTGAAGTAGTGATGTCATCAGCTCGCGCAGGTAAACAACACCGTAGAGTGAATGTGTGGAACTCACACGAGAGAGAAAACAACAAGATCAGCGCCATATAGATTATTATATACTATTATACTATTATTATTATATACTATTATACTATTATACGGCTCTGACCAAGATGAAAAAATCGAATCCATCTCATTTGCCTACGAACATTTCTGCTAAAGACCGGGCAAAGCAGTACCCCGATGTCGTGGGGGGAAACTATTCTGCACCCCGTGCAACTGTGTGTTGGAGCATTAAGAGAAAATCGACGGTGACGACCCACTTTGATTCATTCAAACATTGTAAAATGCTTTCTGCTGCTGCGGACAAGAAAGTCAAACAACTCACGTTCACCGAGGCATCAACCTCCAAAACCCTTTCGAGGGCTACAAGAAACGAGGTGAGTAGCCTACAAGATTGAAGCTGGTCAGATAACGAACGAGTAAATGAAAACAGAATGAGGCGGAGAAGAGTGTGTGTGTGTGTGTGTGTGTGTGTGTGTGTGTGTGTGTGTGTGAGAGAGTGATTAAAATAGCCCATATATAAATACATAAATAACACTTTGTGATGTAGCTTGCTTCTAGTATGCTTGTTTATCATAGGAACTCTTTAAAAGGGCTCACTTTCATTCAGTAGTAGCCTAGTAACAGGGTGTGGGAGAAGAATCACCTTTTTTCCGCCTCCCGCATATTTCGCAACTTTTCGCATATTTAGCATATTTCCGCATATTTAGCAACTTCCCCGCATAAAATCACATAAAAACCCCGCATGTTTAATCGCATAATCAAGGATTTTAGCCCGCATAATCAAGGATTTTAGCCCGCGTTTTTCTGGAGGGTCTAATAATGGTATCAGCTTTTGTAAAGCAATGTTGCCATAGATGTTTTAACGTGAGTATAGATCTAACGCTGTTGCTCTGTTTTTCTTCATTCAGTGTCCAATAAAGACAGGCTGACAGGGCAGGTCAGCGTGAGAGCCTTGTGCTACAGGTCAATGAGGAAGAGCGAGACAGCACACAGTTTGAGTGTAGGCAGGTAGCATTGACACTGTGTTCCCCCCTGTTTATTGAGTTTCAGTTCAGTTAAGCATTAGTTTACCTTAAGGGAATCTCAACAGTGTCCTACTTCTCCCTGCTTTATCACAGCTGATTGGTCAGATAGTATTACATTGATTATGGATGTGTAAGTTTGGGGGTTCAAATATATAGTCAAAACTGCTTTAATACAATTTTCAAGGCATCTTAGTTTCCAAAGAAGGTTCATTGTGGTATTGTAGGGTTAGAGGGTAACACTAAGCATTCAGGAATACATGCTTCTTCTAGGATAATGGGTCAGTAAAAATAACCAATAATTCTACTCATAACCTCCTGGCTCATTTACCACAAGTGAGGTTACTAATCACTAGTATTTATTCTCTCTTTTTTAGATAACGCTTTCATCACCAGTGGTGCTCACGCACAACCAGTGCTCCTGTGTTGCAGGAACTGTTTTGTGCAATCACACAGTAGCATTGCTGTTCCAAACGGCACACTACACTGAACTGAACATGCCAGTTGTGCCGCCTGTGCATAGCTGTACTGAATCGGAACAGCAATGGCACAAGCCGCGAACAATGGTAATTTCAATAAGGTTCAAATACTTCTTTCACAGAGTTTTTGTTTTAAAGTGACTCAACTAACAGTAATTGTCTTTCCCTTAAGGGTGTGAAGCCAGGGCCCATCAACTCCATGGTCTTCACCAAGCCTCTACCAAATAGGATGGTGCAGACTGGAGTAAGGTAATTTTAGCTGAATAATTGTGTTTCCTGTGTTTTTTTTAATTCATAATGCTATTCTGGTGCTGTATTCCTTACCTTTATTGTCACATTAATGTGCTATATTGTCTTTGTCATTCTTTGTAGGAGTGGATTCTACAGAGGCATGGTGGGGCCATTACCAGATCCCTGCCTGTTCAGAGTTACGGAGGCATACTCAGCATTCAGCATTGAAGACAGACTGCTTGTGACCACAATGAACATGAGACCCTTGTGGAAAGTGCCTTCGGGATGGTGCAGGAGGGCAGTGTTCTGTCCTATCAGATGCCTGCTTTGACGTCTCGGTACACCACACTTCACACTGACACACCACCAACACCCCACTTGCCCACATGTTTTTGATATATATTGTTTGTCACATTTCATATATGTAAATAAATATACAATTGTATTTAAAAAGACAATAAAGTGAAGTGATTTTTTGTAATTAATAGTAAATCATTGCATTTGTAAGAAATCATCAACACATTGTAATTTGCAATTTACCATTTATTCAAACAAAACACTAGCGTGTGTTAGGCAACACGGGATTACGGTGTGCTCACCCAGCTTAATCACAGCTACCTGCACAGGTGTCATCATCTTGTCTTATTTCACCCATTTCTTGACCAGTGCTTTGTTCTGATAGTTTGACAGCATACATGCTACTGCAAACAGTTGGTTGATGTTGTAGGCATGGGACAGGAGGATGACACCATCAAAAAGCTTGTTCTCTTTTATCCTCCTAATGACACGCTCCACATGAACCCTCAGTCTGGCAATGGCCTGTGTCTCCCTCACCTGATAGGCTGGCATTTGCTTCTGCTGTGACAGAAAAGGTGGGCAGTACACCTTGCATTTGCAGCAATCGCTGATCAGGAAGCCCTTATCTACCATCACTGCCATGTTTTCAGTCAACAACGCAGCTATTCCAGATTGTTTGAAAATCTCCTTGTCGCTGACAGAACCACCATACAGACTGGAAACAAATGTCACTGCGCCATGTGGGGCTATGCCAACCAGGGCTTTCATGGTGCAGTGAGATTTGTATGTAGAATACATTTCACTTTGGAGGAGGAGTGAGGATGGTGTTTGACACCTCAGCTCTGTGCAATCCAGGATCACCTGTGTGTCTGGGAAATCTTTGAATGCCTCTGGGAGGTGGGCTTGAACTTCTGCAGGTGTAAGCCAGATGCACTGTGACCCCAATAAAGTTGTAAGAAAACTTGTCCATGTTGCAATGATGCGGCTCACAGTGGACTGGTGTACGTTGAAGCGGTTTGCAAGGTCCCTCTCTTTCAAACCCACCGACAGGAAGCATAGAAAAAGAAAGAACTCGTCAATTGGCTGAAGCAGCTGTCTCTGGAAGATAAAAATAAAAAAAGGTTACTATATTAATGTCATGAGTGTAGCACACTGGGAAAAACATGAAGTTGTTTTAGTTCTCTGATGTATTAAAAAAGGATTGAGTACTTTAGCCTTTTAGCCTACACAAAAGCAATGAAATGTCGGAGAAACATTTTCCCTTCAGTTTGTGTTTAGATTGTGTGTTAAAAGAAACGTAGCCTACCGTTGATGGACGTGCGTGTGTAACCACTTCTTCATTCCTCTTGGCAGCTGATATCGCTCTTGTAACACGAACCATTTTATGAATTGAAGGCTCAATCAAAGACCAGAAGGCCATCAGGTGGTTATAGCTCGGGAATCTGTTCACAAAAGACACATGTCAGTCATTAATTGACAGTAAATACAATCGTGTTAACTGTAACACATGGGCTAATGTTTTCCTCTTGTTTGCTATAATACATTACAATTCAAACTGATTAAGAAGGCACTTGGTGCAGGTATAGTAATCTACAGCAGTAAAATGTAACAACTACATTAAAGCAGCAGTAATAATAATCTAAAACATACAGGGAACATTTTACACACAATGACTACTTTTATTCTTCATTCTTAAGTGTGCAACTGGGGGAAACGCAGTGGATATTGACATACTTTTACTTTGGTAAGGTTTTGAAGATTTCCACTTGTAGTAAAGTATTATCAGTATGTTGTTAGTATTAGTATGTTTTACTCCACCACATTTAGTTAACCTTCATAGTTTCTAGTTACTTTTTATATATGAAAACACATGATTTATGATTCTACATGTTCAGTTCAGGAGTATTTTAAAACCATAGTATTTGTACTTATACTTCAGTTAAGTTGACAAAAAACACACTGGACGCTGCACTAGGTCAGAAACCAGAGGAGACTGAACTCCACCACAGACGGACCACTTTTGGTCAAAATGTCCTCTCCGTTAACACAGGGGTATCTCCTCTTGCACTTTATCTAGCACTTTTATCTTTTCTTGCACTTTATATGTCGTAGCTGCTATATTGTACTGCCATGTGGTAAATACTTGTGTATGCTGCTCTTGCTCTTTTGCACTTTTTGCATATCATGTATTTTGTTTTTACCATGTTTGTAAAATGTAATTTTCTTAAATGTTTAATGTGAGGGACTGCGGATGGAAATTAGCTCAAAGCTAAATCTGGCACTGTTACGCTTGATACATTTTAATGTTGTAAGTGTTCATTACTGTGCATTGTCCCTACCAAATAAACGATTAAATAAATAAAATATCCCAACACTGCATGCATATAGTCAGCGGTCACACGGCAGGTAAACAGGATTCTTTATAAGCTAACCCATCTCAAAAACTTGGATAGAATTGAGACAAAACATTACCTGGTATAGAATCGGATGCAGTGGCGGCTGGTGGAAAATATTTTAGGTGGGGCTGTGGAAATGGTGATCAAACAATACTAGAGGGGTCCGGGGGGATGCTCCCCCGGTAATTTTTTTTGAGAAAAGACCCCTTAAATCATGACTTCTGGTGATGTTAGAGGGGGGGAGAAGGACAATTTGAGGCTTAAAAATATGAGAAGACTGATCAATACCTCCATAACTTCAGTGTGGTTAGCTATGAATCTTCCAAAACTTCCAAACACCTTGTCCTGGACATAGTTTCTACAGCATAAACTGTGCAACAGTACAGTAGGCCCACACAAACTGCAGAACACCGGGGCTTTGGGAACACTGATTTAATTCCCATTTAACCTGTTAAGGGGCTTTTTTCCCCCGTTTTTTTTCTCACGAAACTGTGTCTCAGGGCTTCTTAAAATGTAATAAACTATTCATGTGTCCTACTCAGAGGAAACGCATCTAACTGATGATATGAACCATGTTTACCGAAACAAAACACAAGTCTCACAAGAAGCGTCTAAATGAGCCCTGAGCGAAAAAATGCTAACGCACTCTAGGTATAAATCAATCGATATACTTATCGGATATGCACAAACAAGCTTACAAACTGAGATTCCACATATTCTAGAAATATAAGTATCATCACTGAGCGATCAGAACTCGCGACAGCGGAAGCAAATACAGACATCACACGACGTAGCTTTAGGTAGCAAAACATGGAGATATGCTCACCTTTTGCAGAATAACAATTCTGATCAAAAACGAGAAAAACGCAGCTGAAGGTTAATCCATAAATTCACTTTGAAAAATGATTGATGATCCATAATTCCATTTTTATGTCAAAAACGGAGTTTTCATTAGCTGCTAAATGGTAGCTTCCAGAGTGTATGACAGCTTCCTGTTTTGTCTCCTTGGATACGAGCCCAAACAACTCACAGACTGCACCGGGCGCTCATGTAGGAGCCCTGTGACCATCATATTTGACGACGCTGATTGGCTGAAATTATGTTTTCGCGGCATAGTTTACACGTTACAGATAGCAACAGTCAGCTGCTAGTGGCTGCTGCTGCACTGGTTGAGGGCTCCTCTCTTAGCGCCCAGACGAGAGAAGGTACACGGGCAAGGCCAGGCAGGAAACATGTGACTTATCAGTAACTTTAGACATCGTAACACAATTTTAAACGATATTTTATTGTAGATTATACATTTTACTGATACCAATTATATAATATTTACCTTGTTCATTAAAAATAAAAATAAAAATATATATGTTTTTTAAAATATATTTTTTATTTTTATTTTTATTTTTATTTTTTAATATGGGAAGAGGTGGGGCAGCGCCCCTAGCGCCCCTATGGACCGGCCGCCACTGATCGGATGTTGTCGTCGGAGCCAGCAAACCGCTGTAAGCAAAACTCTCGCTGGACTCTTAACTCCTGCAGTTGCTTCTGCAGATCCTCCACTGTTTTGGAGTTGTCTTCTGTAGCTTGAGAGGACATGTCCAGTGAAGCTGGTTCAGGGGTTGAGCAGTAATCATGGTCACGGACATCGATGTGCTCTTCCTGCTCCTCCCGAGAGACTGGTTCAGTGGGCCGCTCCCTTCTCTCCCAAACACTAGCCCGCTGTGTTTGAGCAGTAAAGTGATTCCACTCAAACAGAGTTGGTACAGCACCTTTCACAAGCCTCCTACGGCCATCAAGGGTTTTTGGCTCTATTAGTTGATCCGTAGCGAAGTGACGACTGCAGACCTTGGAGTGAGAGGATATTGTAAAGTTATCGCGCCGTATTTTTACCAGCCACTGTCTTCGCAGCTCGAGTTCGGTCGGAAAGCCATGGAAACTTAGGACGCCGTTGAATTTAGCTGACGCCGTACAAAGTGGGACACAGCAGTGCTCGGAGTAGTTATTCACTTGTCTTTGCAAATGTTCCGTTTTGAAAATCTTCCGTCGACTCATATTTAAACCATAGATTTAAACAGTAAAACCTTTGTGGACGATCTCCCGCTCAGCTACTGTTGGAGCAGAACACCTCTGCTACGCGCCGTTCGTTGGATGAGGCTGGATCTCTATTAAATTAAGAAAGGAATTGAAAACACCGGAATCAAAGTTATAACAAATTATCTGAGTTTACTTCTAGTAGGAAACCAAACACATATACAAGTTATACAGAGTACTCGAGCACTCCGGGCTTCAGGTTTGTGACGCGGTTTTACAGGTAGACAGACCAGCTTTCAGAAAACGAGAAGTATGGACTCCAGGTTTGTGATGCGGTTTACCGTCTTCTAGCACCAGCTTTCAACAAACCAGAAGCATTTTTACACTCAAAAACATCAGTATTCATATCCATTTTTGGGGCGGAGATGTCTCGACTCTTCCTTCCCATTTTCCTCCCAAGCGAATCAGAGAGTCTGTGAGGAGGAGCTGTGTAAGCTGATCACCTCCCCCAAGTGTCCTGATTGGCTGGATTCGCTTCTGGTCGAGGTCAATAGTTCTCACCAGGACTTGAAATTCCAAAGTCCCCTAAGGTCAAAAGTCAACCCTTATCTCTGTGGGGATCCCCACTCCCCCACCTTCCCATGAGAGCTCTTCACATAAACCATCCCCCCTCAGACATCCAAACCCCTCTGCATACATTTAACGATGTCTTTAACGACTTAAAACCAACATCTGGCTTTTAGGGGTGATACAGGCCAAGTGAAACAGAATCTCTGGATCAGTGAGTTTGAAAGTAAGAATATCCTTTCTATATATAATTACCCAAAACCGTTGTGATTACATAAAACAGTTCAAATAATACATGTTTACTTCAATACAGTGTAGAATCATATCTTTTTACTTCACTACGCAGGCCGGAAGTAAACCGGAAGCAGCCGAGCAGTATTACGGCTAAGGCGGAAGTACGTCTCAGACCCTAGTGCATGTAGCCTATTGGATCAAATATAAAAGTCAGCAGAATTAGTATTGATACTGCAAGGAGACAATCCAGTCTCACGGCATTTCGTGTTATAGTCACAACATTTAATCTATTGATTCGTGTTCACCAACACGATTTTCCCCTTTTTTTCGTGTCGCACAGAACGATTTTAAAGCAATGTATTTCTATTGGTAGTGTGTTTCGTGCCTGCAACACGTCTTTTTGTCCGGTCGGGTCTTGGAAGACCGGAAGCTGTGTGGTTCATAAAAACATTGTCTTACTCAATATCAAGCCACGATTATTGTTATTATTTTAAATCATATAATGTCTGACTTTTTTTGCCGTCTGCAAGGAAAATAAATGGGGCTCAGAGCCTCAGAATACTGAAATATGTATTTTTTCAATCTTTTTTTCCTTCTAATTTGTTATTATTTTCTAAATAACACACTGTTATTTACTCAACAATAACACACAATTATCCTTGTTTTTATTTATTTGTTTAATTCTATAATCTCTGGCTTTTTTGCCGTCCGTCAGGAACTGAATTTCAAAATAAAGTCACCGGAAACAGACGTAGGCGATACACACCCACTGAACTGATTACCCAAGACCCTCAGCTATGGTTGAAGCTTGGTGATTGGAGGTTTTAGCCGCAATGCACGTTGGGATATGGTGTTAATGCGATATGAGATAACTATCAACAGAATTGCTTTGCCAGGCAACAGCTTGGGGTGAAAACCGTATTTCCGGTCTCGAAGTTTGCATAGTAATCTGCACCACTCATCAACTAAAAACATCAGTTTATATCCTTGTTAATTACACAACATTGATTGGTTTAAATTGTGTACAACGCTTTTGTGTTTTTCCCCTTCGATTCGGAGAAACAAATAGTTTTTTCTGAGTTTAGGATGGCCAAAGACACTACACTACCCATAATCCTCTGCTATCGTTTGGGACTACAGTCCCTTTGCTTGACAAACCCTGTGATTAATCTTCAAGCTCTGTGATTGGATGTTGGAGTGGCAGTGCGCCAAGGTTACGCCGAGCGTCAAACAGGACTTTGAAATGGAATGAAACCACGGCAGACTATCCAAAACTGGACTCGAACGGGCCAAAATATTGGATAAATAAAGGGTCTCAATGAAATATGTGCAGTGTCACATGTTTAGTGTAAATTGTCACATGACTGGGGCTGTTCATTTCCTAGTTGCACCAAGTGAAGAGGATGGCTGCCTCAAAGCTCCCAGAAAAACGGTTAGTAAAGAATGTTAACGTAAAGATAGTACAATGATTTTTGGTAAACATAATCTTTAAGGTATCTAGTATTGATAAATGCATTTGCAATAACTTAACTTTTTTCAATGTAGAAACAGAAAGAGTAAACATGTTGACGGCAACAATAGTGACCGGCGGGATAACACAGTGCATCTAGGTATACACATTTACACATACATAGTCTTTTAACCTAATTTCTTACTGTGTTGTTTCTTTTATCTTTACCTTGAGTCAAGTTCTGGATATGTTGGATCTAGGTGACAGCCCAGATAAGGCATGCAACATTACAGTTATCCCTCAAACTGAGAAAGATGCTTTCCTCAGTGGTTGTGATAGCGATGGGTCAGATATGGACTATGAGGGGGAGTCAGGCCATTTGCCAGCCAAGCTGTTGAATGCATATGCTGAACTTCAGCAAACTGATCATGACAGGAACAACGTTATCAATGATGATGACATCCCCCTCACCACTACCCCTTCCACACCCCCCTCCGCTGTTCATGATAAAGAGTCAGAAAGGCCAAGGGCAAAGCAGCAGGATGTCAAAAATAAAAATTGAGTGTTCAAACAATCGAAGAGGCCCTCCTCCACTGTTATTCCAAAAACACACAGCATACAGCCCAAATGCTGCAGAATGTATAAAACAAAGTTGGATGTTTTCTTACAGAAAGAATTAATTTCGGGGAACATCTGAGGTTTTGACCCAAGGAGACAATTTGCTGGTCCGTTGGAAAGACAATAATGTTGTCACAGTGGCAACAAACTACTTTGTTGCCACTTTGTCAAGAGATGGAACAAGGAGTGACATACATTTGACAAATTCCCACAACCAAAATGCATCAACCTATACAATGAGCACATGGGTGGTGTTGACCTTCATGACCAACAGGTATCAAGATACCATATCTCGATCAGGTCTAAGAAGTGGTGGTGACCCATCTTTGCATGGTCTCTCAACAGTGCACTTGTGAACAGCCATTTCTTTTACAGAGACATTATGGGAGGGACCAATAGCCGCTTTCACACCAAGTACTTTGCGGTACTTAGTTCCCGGTACTTAGTTCCCGGTACTTAGTTCCCGGTACTTAGTTCCCCCGAACTCTTTAGTTCCTGGAACTAAAGAGTAGATCGCGTTCACACCGGAATAAGTCCCTGAGGGAGGATTACGTAAATGAATCCGCTGACGTCACTTCTTCTTCTGCTGCTAGGTTCTAGTTCCAGATCTTTTTGGTGTGAAAGCAAAATCCCAAGAACTATCGGAACTATTCCTGGGAAAAGTACTCCGGTGTGAAAGCGCCTATTGATCTGCTCACCTTCTCAAGGATAGTGGCACAGTCACTTATGCAAAAGTTGGCACAAAACCACTGAGCCAGGGCAGGAGATCTCTGCTGGCAGCTACTGTTGAACATCAGGCAAGATAAAACAAAGCTTCTCACTGGCCAATCAACACGATGCATCGGTTCCAGAGATGTCGTCACTGTGACAAACGCACTACCTATGCATGTGAGAAATGCAAAGCACCACTGCACATTGAGTGCTTCAAGATGTACCATGGACAGTAGAAAGGGAACTATAAGTGAATGCAAAGAGGCTGTAATAGCTATCAAAAAAACCAAAGCAGACCCAATAAAGGCTGTGGAGATGCAGTACGAAGTCCATGACAAAGGGGAAAAGTCCAAAATGACTGGAATGTTTTGGAAAAGAAGTTCAAGTTAATCAATCAGTAGATTGTAGTTCAAAATAGTGATGCACAAACTAATCGTGCACTTGGTTCTAAAGCCTATGATATATATATATTGCATTTTTGTTCAGTGTAGGACTCCTATTCTACATGCTACCTTTCCTAAATGTTACCCGCGGATGACCCGCAAAAAAAGTGATTCGCGGGTGGTATTTTTTCAAACGTTTTTTTCCGGGTTCGGATCTGGGTTAAACAAAGATGATGCGTGTCGGGTCGCGGGTGTTGCATAATAAATATATTAAAATAATAATAATTTAGTTTAATGTTTAAATCCTCAGACCTCTCCCCCGCGGGACCGCGCATAATCATAACCTCTGCAGCGCATCAATCTGCTGCTGAGCGCGCCACATTCGAAATGGCTGAGGTGAAGGCGAAGCTCGGAGAATACAGCATTTTCAATAACACTTCCTCAAGAGCGAAATCCAACGTCTGGGAGGCTTTTGGTGTCATCCTAGATGGAGAAAATAACCAACATCCCACGCTTTTTGAGACAAATATGCAACTGCGTGTGTTAATAATTGCACGTTTTCACTGCTCATATATATGCGGGTTCGGGTCGGGTTGCGTATCTTGTGCCGACGGGTCGGGTCGGGTTGCGGAACTAATTGGCAATATGTGCGGGTAGCGGGGCGGGTTTGGTATTGCACGTCGCGGGGCGGGAGCGTGTCTTGAAAATCAGACCCGTGCAGGACTCTGCCTCAACTGAGCTGAAAATGCGGCGCACCTATGCGGCGCAATTAGAGTGGCGAGGCTCCACTAGCACACCCCCCCCCCCACGGCGCTCGCGAAACAGAGGGCCTCATCATATAACTTTGCGTGGGGCCTCAGGTTGGCCAGGGACGGCCCTGCAAGACATCTATCAATATGTGCATACCTCCACCATTAAACTGTCATATTCTGCACATCTATTATACTATCTACATACATCTTATAAGAGTATAATTCATATGTATAATATCATTTAAAATAAGTGCTTCAACAAAGTTAACATTGCAGGAAAGCAATATATTAGACGTTAAGTACTTTGTCAGGCTTAATATTTATCTGTAGATACCCCCAA